TGAGTCTTGTGTGGTAGCAATTCATAGAAATGTTTCAGTTGGAGATACCGAAACTGGAGGAGAGGGGTCAGTGGTCGATCACCCAACATCGATGAGAGATCCCGCAGTCCCCCGGCTGCGAGGGCCTTATGTATGGGGACGTATGATCCATTACTCTGGATGGGTAGGGCTCCGGGAGGGAGACCACCCCCCACGGCCGCATTGTGGGTGATCGGTAGCATCGGACTGGGTATAGGGGATACGTGATCTTGTGTTCTAAAATTCCTCCAACCTTGTAGGGTCTGTAGGATCAGTCCCTCGTCTGCAGAGTGAGTTAGCAATCCTCCAGGGCTTCCCCAAATCTTCGTCTCCAGCGTCGGGCCGACGAGACCCCTGTCAAGTTCCACCCATTGTTTAGGTGTCTGCAATGAGTGCCAGTCCAGTATACGTTGCAAGATTGCTGCCTGATGATACTTCTTAAAGTCTGGCAACGCTAGTCCTCCGGAAATTCTAGGTCGGCAGATGATGTCATGTCGGATCCTAGACCGTCTGCCCCGCCAGACATATTTAATCACCGCCGACTTCAGGGTGGAGAAGAAGGCCGATGGGAGTGCAAGAGGTATAGTCTGCATGAGATACAGAACCCTCGGGAAAATATTCATTTTTATCACCGCAACTCTCCCATGCCAAGTAACATGTGTGTAGGACCACCTGGACAGGTCTGCGAGTATATTCTTTAGTAAGGGTGTAAAATTATGCTGATAGATATCTCCCGGGGCCACCGTCATCCAGACGCCCAGGTATTTCATCTTGTCGTGGCACCAGTGGAACGCAAATTCCAGTTCCAAAGACCGAAATTCCCCTGTAGGGAGTGTCAGATTCAGGACCTCGCACTTCGAGATGTTAAGTTTAAAACCGGATATCTGTCCGAATCTGTCAAACTCCGAAAGGAGACACGGTAGAGTGATCCTGGGGTTGCGAACAAAGAAAAGGAGGTCATCCGCATACGCTGCTACCTTGTGTTGGACACCCTTCCAGTCATATCCCTGTATGTCCGGGTTTTGACGGATCGCCTGAAGCAGTGGTTCCAGGGTCAGCGCGAACAGCAGTGGCGAGAGTGGGCAGCCCTGTCGGGTTCCGTTGCTGATCGCGAAGTCCGCTGTCGTGGCTCCATTAACCCTCACAGATGCGCGCGGTCTGCTATATATAGCAGAGATCCACGTGAGGAGTCTCTGACCGCATCCCTGCCGTCTCAGGGTCTCCAGCATGTATATCCAGTTGACCCGGTCAAATGCCTTTTCCGCATCCGTTGATAGCAAAAGTAACCGGGACCCTGTCTTCCTTGCGTGGTGTTGGATAGAGAAAAGCCTGAGAGTGCTGTCCCTAGCCTCCCGACCCGGGATGAATCCCGTCTGGTCCGCGTGTATTAAGTCGGGAAGTAGATGTTTAAGCCTGGTTGCCAGGACTTTCGTGAACAGTTTAGCGTCAACGTTCAACAGCGAGATCGGACGATAGCTGCTGCATTGCAACGGGTCCTTCCCTGGTTTAAGTATGACTGTGATGGTAGCCGCCAGAGATTCCCTTCCCAGAGCCCCACCCTCGCCTACTGCGTGAAGTGCTTTAGCGAACCAAGGAAGTAGCATTCCCGAGAAGCTTTTATAATATCCCGTAGAATAGCCATCTGGGCCAGGGGCCTTGCCAGATTTGGATGTCTTCAGGGCTGCGGCTAATTCTTCCACAGTGATCGGATTGTCCAAGAGCGTCGCCGAATCCTGAGCAATCGTGTTCGTGACTGTGTTAGCCAGAAAGTCCTGTATCTTAGCGCGTTCTCTTGCAGCGTCGACGATCCCGTTAGACGTGTACAGATTATATAAGTGTTCATAGAAAGACCTGAACTCTCCTGCAATTTTCTGTGGGAATGGGGAGACCTCCCCCGACGTCAGGCGGATCTTACGTATCTGCCTATGGGGCAAGGGGCCTTTCAATAATCTCGCCAGGTATTTACCCCCTTTGTTGGCGTGCACATAGTAAAAGCCTTTCGAGCGTTGGACTGATCGGAGGTGTCTTTTTAGAATGAGATCCTTAAGTCGTCTCCTGTGTTCCATTAAATCGCCGTAAACCGCGTTTAATTGGGAGCGTTTGTGTTGGCGTTCCAGGGTCGCTATAGAACGATATAAGTCGACCATTTCAAGCAGAGCCGCTTTCCGCTTCTGGGAGGCAATCCGTATGAGTACGCCCCGGATCACACTTTTATGGGCTTCCCATATGGATATTGGAGAGGTCTCTGGGGTATCATTTTCTCCGAAATATTGTTCCAACGCTTGTTGAACCTGTTCCTTGGTGCCCAGGTCAAGTAGAAGGGCCTCGTTAAGTCTCCAAGTCCACGTCCTAGGTCTGTAGAGGGGTGATTCCAGCTCAATCTCGACCGATCCATGGTCCGACCAGGTGGCCGTTTCAATCTCCGCCCCGCATAGGTGGGAGAGACCCTCCTGTGCAATAAGGATATAGTCTATGCGAGAGTAACGATTATGGAGGGCGGAGTAGTAGGTAAAATCTTTCACCGTGGGGTTTAGTGTCCTCCAACAGTCCACCAATCTCAAGGCGTCCATTGACTGTCGAATGGATCTGATGCTATGTTGTAGAAGGCAGCTATGACCCATGGAGGAATCCAGCGTTGGGTCCAGCGGGGCGTTGAAGTCACCTCCTACTAATAGTATCCCATCGGTGAAGTCCTCCAATTGATGCATAGCATTTCGTATGAATGGAGCCTGCCTCCGATTGGGCACATAGATGGTTGCAATGGTATATATTTTATCCGCTATGATGCCCTTAAGAAAAAGATATCGTCCCTGCGAGTCTTGTATGCGTTCCAATTCTTTAAATTCCAATTCCGCCGCTAATAAGATAGCTACCCCGGATTTATGGGCCGTTGGGTGGTTACAAAAGTAGTTAGCAGGGTAATGCCTATTCCATAGTCTAGGAGCCGAACCTTCCTTGAAGTGCGTCTCTTGAAGCATAGCAATAGTCACACGTTTTTTCTTCAATTCCTGCAACAGGTGCGTCCTCCTTTCAGGGATATTGAGTACCCTGCAATTCTGTGTGAGAACCTTCAAAGAAGCGGTACGATAGGCCATGTTTACCGTATGGGTTGGGTACGTTTCCGTTCCTACGCTGGGTCCGGGGGTTTCGCAGGTAGTCCGCTACCTCAGGGGAGATCTTGTAACCGGGGCACAGGCAGGCCCAAACACGGGAGGGGCAAAGGGAAGTAAAGAGGGGGTGGAAGCGGGGGGGGGGGGGTTAGAGTGGGGTTATAGGAGGTGGCACGAGTGGCGACTTTGGGGCCCGACACCTGGGGCCGACTGCGCTGCGTAAAATGTAAGAAGAGATGTGCCCCCTCTAGGCGGTCACCCTCCAAATTCCGGTAGGATCCCGGATCTAGGTCTAGCTCCCCTTCTGCAAGGGAGGGGGAAAACTCGCGCAGCAACCAGTATCAACGGGGGCTCGCTCCGGTACCAGCCCAGGAGTCGAGGGTCTCCGCCGTCTGGTCACAAACCTCTTAGCACGAGTGTATGTGTTGGGGAACGCGGCTCGAGCACTGCCCAGGTAAGGTATCCAGGAATATACAGGTGGTACTCCACTCCACCGTATCCCCCATAAACAAGTTCGAATGGACAGCAATAACCTGCGTACATAATACAGTGACAACAAAGGCAAACAGGTATTAACAACAAACAATAGTATAGCATCCATGGCACCGAAGGCAGTTATACATAAACAATACAAGTCAATATAAATCAATAGCAATATAACCCTTCATCCCCCAGGGACTTCCCCTAATCCGAAGGCAAATGCCCACCCAACGTCCACCCGTTCTGGCCGATTTAGTGCAACCCCTTCCCAGAGTGTCGCTGAATGTTAGCTCCCCTACAACCAAAAGCGGGAAGATGTCCTATGTTGGGGAACCTTGATCTGTCCTACGGTCACCCCGGAGTTCCTCAAACATTGACCATGTACACAGTATACATCATGTGCATGTCACACTCCTGATTTGCTTCCGTCATTTCCCAAGTGGGGGTGGGGGGGTTCGTATATAAGTGAGGCTCTAGTCGGTCGCCTGCATGTGGGCTGAGTACAGCTACGGGCATGAGTGTTCTAGGTAGATGAGGCGATGTCATGAGGTATTTGTGGCATGTGTGGGCCTAGACCATGAGTTAGCTGCTTGCATACGTGGAAGGTGGTGGGAAGGTCCAGCGTATGTCGGGTAGGACCATAATAGCCCGCCCAGTCAGTCTAAGTAATAAAAGACGTGAGAACATCGGGGCCCAGTCAGGATGCAATCAACGTGCTACCACCTAAAGCTTCCTAAGTACAGTGGTGTGAGGGGGTGGACGTAGTGGGGGCCGAGGGTCAGTCATCCACAGGGAACAATATATACAGTATTAATGCTCAATTCTGCTTCACCACCCCCCTCCTCCCCCTTCACCCCACCCCCACAGATCGCAGGCAATGTTCCCAAGCGCACACTGTCCAACCGAGTGACCCCCCCCCATGAAGAAGTGTCCCCAAGCGATAGTCCTGGTCAGTGTTCCAAGATAAATTATGCGTATCCTTAGGGATGCTCATTGTGCACTGCCCGCTTCCCTCCAAGACCCCCCACCCCAAAGCAATGTCCGCTTGCTCCGTGCCGGGATCACTCATGAAATAAAGTGAGGGAGTGATTGAGGAAGCTGGTATACGTCTCGCATGCCAGTCTCAGATATGCCCAAGCCCAATGCGTGTGCCCAGAAGCCCTGGACCCCCAACCCCAAGCCCCGAGACAATAACCCATTGTACCTGATGGTGCACCGTAAACCAAAACTGCTCATCATGGGCGCCGGTAGGGAGGAGCGGAACTCAGGCATCAAGTCGCAGGGGTCAATAACGCCATGGTTGGCTCATCTGTGGGAGACACCAGGTATCGGTACGGACGTAGTGCCAAAGGGTGATGTGCGGCCGTCGTGAACGTGGGTAGTCGAGTGCCTTTATTCTTCAGGGGACGTCGGGTCTCCGCGTCGCCCAGGGTGTTGAGCAGGAGGAGCTCTCACGTCTCGTTGTCTTGGCCCTCTCTGTGGTCTCGGCTGTGGGCCCAGCGGTCCCAGTATCCAGTTGGGGACCGACGGTGAGGGGAGGCCCATTTCTCCTATGAACCGCGGAACCTCCTCTGGCCATCTCAAAGTGAGCCATCTATTCTGGTGCCTAGCCATCAAGGCAAAGGGGAAGCCCCATTTGTATGGAATGTTACGGTCTCTCAGTGTAGCAGTAACTGGGCGGAGGGCCCGTCTGGCCTCCAGTGTTATGGGAGACAGATCATTATAGAGAGAAACTTGAACTCCTCTAAAGGGCCAGGTTTGCCGTTCCCGTGCCTTAGCCATAATGGTGTTTTTCACCGGGAAGGAGTGTAGGCAGCATATGAGGTCCCGCGGCCCGTCCTCCATATTGCGAGGTCGCAAGGCCCTGTGCGCCCGTTCAAATTCGATCTCAGGCGGCGGAGTCGGAAACAGTAGGGAGCAGAAGAGTTCCGTGAGGATTTCCATAGCATTCTCCGTCCCCTCCGCCTCCGGTACCCCACGTACCCGTATATTGCATCTCCTGCCTCTATTGTCTACATCTTCGAGATGTCGACGCATGGAGAGCAGCATCTCCCCTTGTCGTGCCACAGCCATGTCAGTAGCTGTCACGCGGGTCGTGAGGGCCGCGTTCGCCTCCTCCATCAGAGTAATGCGGCCTGCTTGCGCTGTGAGCTCCGTGCGGATCCCAGCAATCTCCGTCCGCAGGGTATCTTGGATGGTTGTTGTGTTAGCCTGGAGGTCGGATTTTGTCACCATGGCTGCAGCCAGGTCCCTCAGGGTATCTTCAATCCGGTCCAGTGCCGGCCTCTCCTGTCCCGAGGTGGATGACGCTGCCATTTTGGGGCTCGCGGAGCCTCCGCTCGCTCCAGTCTGCGGGTGGAGAAACCCGTCCAGCGGGCCCTGTGAGGAGTGCCTCGGGGTCTGGGACTGCTCCGGGCGTTTAGTGCGCCCCATGAGGTACCGTGCGCTATACTTATGGTGCTTTTCGGGGTTCGGTGGAGCGGAGCTCACTCCTTAGGCGGCCATCCCGTTCAGAGCCGAAACCACGCCCCTACTCCTGTCCTTATAGTGTCAAAACCACCATCTAGCTCCCCTGGCCCCCCTTAACCCTTAAATATAGTAAAATCTTACTTTTATTATAGTCTGCTGCTGTTGGTTCTGTCCCTGATCTACCTGCTTGGCTGACATCATCAGAAGTTATTCCCATTGTATTGTTTGAGACTGTAGAGAGGCAGATATGGGGCAGAGCCAGCACAAGTCGAACACAGCCCTGACTAATAAGCATCTCCTCATAAAGATGCATTAAATCAATGCATCTCTATGAGGAACATTCAGTATCTGCATGCAGAGGGTGGAGACACTGAATGGCAGTGCTGCTCACTGTGCAGCACTGCCCCAGGAAGCACTTCTAGCAGTCATCTGAGGAGTGGCTAGATGAGTTATCACTAGGCTGTAATGTAAACACTGCATATTCTCTGAATATACAGTGTTTGCTGCAAAAAGCCGGAAGGGACGGATTCTACTCACCAGAACAAATACTATAAGCTGTAATTGTTCTGGTGACTATAGTATCACTACTGAAATACTTCAGGCCGGGAAGATCAAGACCCTACCCCCAGTGAGCCCTAATGTAATTAGTGCCAACTAAACTAGAATACAAAAATTACAAAGTATTAGCGCTTAGGCGATCTTCCCCTTCTAAGATAAATTGGGGGAAAAAAAGCATAAAAAATAAAATTACTGATTAGTGAGAGTCCCAAAGCCAAAATAGTTTTAAGAGGATATATTCCAAAATTGAAGGGGGTATAGGTTTGGAAAACACAAAGTTCTGTGGTGTTAATAAGAGGTTCCAATCTCCAGTCCAGGGGAAACTATGTAGCCACATTATAGACAGGAAAGAAACAAATATAGTGTAACACTGTTTATTAAAAAAAAAAACCTCTATGCAATCCCTTTGAGGAAATCTTACCCAAAATAGTGGTGGTGCTTATTTCTAAGTACCACAAACAGGCATAAGGTGCAGCAAAATTGAGAGTGATGACAGAGTTACCACTCCACTTGTCTGATTCGAATTCATTTTTTTTAATGCTTTTTCCCCCCCAGTCTATCTTAGAAGGGTGAGATCACCCAAGCGCTGATGCTTTTTAATTTTTGTACTTCTCATTTTAGGAACTTGGGATGGTTCTATTGTACCTAGCTGCTGTTATTTGTTGTTTTATTGTTCTTATATATTTGTGCGCTCTCTTATAGTGTACACTTGTAAACTATAATAGTGCGAAATTGATCTGTATTTCTGTACGTGTGACAAAGGCTACAAAAATAGTAATTTATTTCCAGGAGTGTAAATCCATCTCCAGTAGCTGACACCAACCAGAGTTCTGGGCTCGTTATGTGGAATTTGTGTACTTTTAGCATTCAGTGTCAGCATGCTGACAAAGGAACATGCGACCTATGCAACTGGAGTTTAAACAACACTTTCACTGACAGACACACACTGACACACCCACTCACTGACAGGCACACACTCACTGATACAAATATACTCACTGATTTGACACTCTGACAAACACACATTCACTCACTCATTCATAGACACACATTGACAGCTACACACACACAAACAGACAAATGCACTCACTGACAGCCACACACACACACACACACACACACACACACACACACACACACACACACACACACTCTCTCTCTCACCAATAGGTTTCTTTTTTAATTATTTAAATCCATCCAGCCTCCCTACCTTTGGGAGAGCTGGAGTGGATCTTGTCCCTGACTGCTGCTGGGCTGGCTGGCTTGGCGGGCTCCTTGCTGGGGATGCTGGCTCCTGCTGGCTGGGCTGTCAGGCTCCTTGCTGGGGCTGCTGGCTAGGCTGGCAGTTTTTTTGCTGGGGCTGCTGGCTGGGCTGGCTGGGTGGACGGGCAGGCGCTCAATGGAGGCGGCAAGGGAACAAAGCTCTTCCTGCTCTGCTCCCTCGCCGCCTGCCTACACTATGAAAAGCTGAATGCCTCAGAGGGCCCTAAGGTGGCCAGCCAGCCAGCCACCTCTTGGGCTCCCCAGGATATGAGGCAAACAAGGTGTTTTCTGCCACCCCCCTGAAAGTGCCGCCCTAGGCAAATGCCTTTTGAACACTGGTATTTATCATTCTATTTGGGAACATTGCCATACTATTAAATAATTGCTTTATCAAACTATCTCCGCATTTGTAGGAGGGTTAGGAGAGACTTGCTGTGACTAGGGTCTCTTTATTTTTCTGTACATAGACCGTTTAACTAATATTGGGTCTTTTTCCTAAATACAGATCTCACCATTGGAACCTTCTCTATCCAGTGTCCATTATTTTCTGTTGGACATCAATTGTAGTTAACCAATTGGGAATTACAAAGGAAAATTTGTTGATATATATACTTATAGGAATACTCTCCTGGGATGATAAAATGATTATTATTTTGTTTGACAGCAACTTTTATATCCACTGTGACACATGTAGGAGTGCAACACCACATTAAAGGAATGGCTGAGATCACTGATAACCAGGGCCGGACTGGGGATACAAAGCAGCCCTGGAAAAAAAATTGTGCCAGCCCCATAAGTCACTGTGCCATATATTTACGCGTGTAATATGTAAGGCTATGTCTTGCCAGGACAGATGATTGAGTAATATATATATATATATTATATATATATATATATATATATATATATATCTTTTTCTAATATAAAATATTGGTCCTTTCATGGTAAAACGTTTAATTATACAGTAAGCATACTCACATGCAGACACAGGCAATTTCACTGACATCTCAATGACACACACAAGCTCACTGATACACAGCCTCATAGACAAACAATCTTACTGATATACATCAGCTCATTGACATAAAAACACAAGCTCGCTCACTAGCAGGCACACGCATGCAAGCAAGCTCACTCACTAGCAGGCACACGCATGCAAGCAAGCTCACTCACTAGCAGACACACACACACAGCTTAATGTGGTGGTACTGGTGTCTATAGCATTTTCAGAGAAAAGGCAGTGTTTACATTGCTTCAAAGTGACACTGCTAAGGACAGTCACTCAGACGGTCACCAGAGGTGCTTCCTGTGTTAGTGCACATTCAGGGCCTCCACATTCTGTAGGTGCTGAACGTTCCCCATAGAGATACATTGATTCAATGCATCTCTATGAGGAGATGCTGATTGGAGTGGCGTTTTGCAGCCAATCCCATGGCAAATCATTGGATTGGCTGAGATCATCAAGCTTGATGATCTCAGCTATAGAGGCAGGGCCAGTCTAGGGGAGACCGTGCTGGTCTCCCCTCGACTGGCCCTGCCTCTATAGCTGAGATCATCAAGCTTGGGGAAAAAAAAAAAGGTGAGCAAAAACACTATTTTTAAACACACATTTACACCATGACAGACACAGAAACACACATATACCATGACAGATACACACCCCATGACAGATACACACACACCATGACAGATCATGACACAGACACACACACCATGACGGACAGACAGACAGACACACACACTCCATGACAGACAGACAGACACCCCATGACGGACAGAGACACACACACACCCCCCCATGACGGACAGACACACACACACACCCCATGATGGACAGACACACACACACCCCATGACGGACAGATACACCCACACACCCCATGACAGACAGAGACACACACACACACACACCATGACGGACAGACACACACACACACCATGACGGATAGAGACACACACACACACCCCATGACGGACAGAGACACACACACCCCATGACGGACAGACACACACACCATGACGGATAGACAGACACACACACACACACATCATACAGACAGACAAACACACACCATACATACAGACACCATGACAGACAGACAGACACACCATACATACAGACAGACACCATGACACAGACACACACACAAACACACACCATACAGACACCATAACACAGACAGACACACCATACAGACAGACAGACACCATGACACAGACAGACACACACACACCATACAGACAGACACCATAACACAGACAGACAGACACATTACTAATACCTGCCAGGGGGAGGTCTTCTGGAGGCCGCTGGGGAGGTCTTCTGGGGCCGCTGGGGGACTTTTACTGGCGGCCGTTGGGGAGGTCTTCTGGCGGCCGCTGGGGGACTTGTCCTGGCGGCTGCTGGGGGAGCTGCGCTGGCTCTGCTCTCCCGCCCTTGCGCGCTGCTGAATGAGACCGGTGCCGGAATATGACGTCATATTCCGGCGCCAGTCTCATTCAGCAGCACGCTGGGGAGCAGAGCCAGCGCAGCTCCCCCAGTGGCCGCCAGAAGCCCCCAGAAGACCTCCCCAGCGGCCGCCAGCAGACCCAGGTGTCTGCCCGGACCCAGGTGCTGACGGCCCGCCGGGAAATATCCCGGTATCCCGGTGGGTCAGTCTGGCCCTGCTGATAACGATCATTCATTAGATAGCTTGTCAAGCGCCACATTAAATCCAGCAGCAGCACTTTTCATGTCTAGCCGCAGATTTTAATTTACTGCCTTCCGCTGATTACGATTGTCTATTAGACAGTCTGTTAAGTCTAACACTATACACAGCGGCAGCACTTTTCATACCTAGCCGTACTGTCATTAGATTCTTTATTCATACATCTGTCTGATTTTTGCCGCTTTCTATGGAAATGTGCTCACCTTCTTTTTTTCCATATTTAGTTTTTATTGAAATGTCATCACAGTGGTACAGAAATGCATTGGTTTCAGGACAGGTGCATCATACATAATAAGGATAAGCATTATTAACCCCTTAATGACACAACTTCTGGAATAAAACGGAATCATGACGGAATATTTCCGTCATGTGTCCTTAAGGGGTTAAATAGTCTGTCCTTTTCTGTTTTAACATATATTACAAGATTCCATGAAC